TAAATTTGTACTGGGACACAGTCTTGCCCACATCTTGCTGGTGGCTCCTTTCAAACTACAAAGGCAAAGGTGAGTAGTTGTGTCCGAATCTCCAGTCCACAAGGCCTAAAACACTTACTATCTGGCCCTTACAGACAAACCTACCAACCCTGAACTGGACGATGGCGGACTAACACTGATTTTGGCTATGCTTCTATCAAGTACAACCAAACATGCCCGCCTCAGGGTGCTTCTCGCCTTCTTCATCCACAGGCACCACCTTACTCTTGGAAGGATGTTAATTTGCTCACAAAGCCGTTGGAGCACATAAGCACACACACGACAAGTTCAACAGAAGCGTGAGGAAATCAGGACAGAGGGAAAAGGAGAGAGAGACACAGGGATGAAGCCAGGGGCATGTGAATACACAGAAAACAAACCCCAATACTCAGTGTTTTCAATGGACCACTGACGTGGCTCCACACAGCCATGACAGAGAGAGAGCATGATCCGTCTCTCGGTTTAGAGTTTTCACTAGAGGTTCGTCAGGAGAACCACAGCAAACCCTGGCACAAAGCTACTTGTCCAGAGTCTGTGCACAGAGCGGATACAGGACATGCATTGAGCAAAGTCCCCAACGATGACCAAATAACCGGGAGGTGTCCTGATCCTATTCACGGCTACAAGGAAATGCACTCAGTGTGAGCCACCTCCAAATCCCAAAGTGGAATTTATCAGCAATTCTTCCAGTACATTACAAAATTTTGAAATAAGCATGGGCCACTTTTATAATCAGAAAATAATTTTTTTTTTTTTTATCCTTACCCAAGGACATTTTTCGATATTTTGTTCAGATAGACTGGGAGGAGAGGGGAGGAGAGAGAGAGAGAGAGAGAGAGAGAGAGAGAGAGAGAGAGAGAGAGAGAGAGAAACAATGATGTGAAGGGACACATCGAGTGGCTGCCACCCGCATGACCCAACCAGGGCCGGGGACAAACTGCAACCGAGGTACATGCCCTTAGCAGGAACTGAACCCGGGTCTCTCAGGACCGCAGGCCAACGCTCTAACCGCTGAGCCAAACCGGCGAAGGCCAGAAAATAAACATTTTTAATTAAAGAAAAGATCACGGGAGCCGGGAGCCCTGACGGCCGGGTGTTCACTGCGAGGCGGACGCCCTCAGCCGCACGCTCACAGAAAGGGCTCCGCCCGGCCCTGCTGGCTGGTGAGGCTGGAGTGTGAGGGCTGCGGGTGCGACAAGGCAAAGACGGGCTGTTCCGAGACCTGGCCAAGGAACTGTTACACTTTGAGGAAGAAGCTCCAGGGGTTCACTCTAAAAGTCACTGGTGAATGGAGATAATCATTGGCCATTTTGTACATTGAGCTTTATAACTTTATACGTAGTTTATCATTATAAATAATTCACGGCCTGGTCTGCTTTAGGCCCAGTGCCTAGAACAGTGTCTGATCAGAAGTAAGTACTTACCGCATGAACGATGTGTTCCCCTGAGATCTTGGACAAAAGGGGAGACTACAGATATGCCGAGGTTGTCCTGGCGAACCTCCCCCAACTGGGTCTTTCCCACAATGCCCCAGCTTGGAGACTCCCTCACCTGTGACAGTGAGGCAGGTGGAAAAGGGGCCCAGATGTGGGGGATAAGTTCCTGAGTCATGCATCAAGAAACACAAATTAAAAACTGAAAAGGGGCCTGGCCAGTGTGGCTCAGTGGTTGAGCATCGACCCATGTACCAAGAGGTCGCTGGTTCAATTCCTGGTCAGGGCACATGTCTGGGTTGCAGGCTCGATCCCCAGTAGGGGGCATGCAGGATCCCCAGCAGGGGGCAATCGATGTTTCTCTTTCTCCCTCTCCTTTTCTCTCTCTCTGAAAATCAATAAAAACATATTTTTTAAAAAATGGAAAAGGAAACTGAACAGCCGGGTGTCTAGTCTCGCTGCAGTCCTGTTGTTGGAAGGATAAACACTTGGACAGCTCAAGACAAACACAGCTTTGGGTTCTGAGCAGGCAGAGTGGCTTTCTCTGCACTCCGAAACATCCATTTGAAATCCGCTCCTTGCTCAGAGCAAGGACATACTTCCTCCTAGAGGAGAGGCTGTTCTGGAGTCGGAGATGCCTGCTCTCCGTGCGTGGCACCCGCTCTGCTCTGAGCGCCAGGGCGGCTGGACAGGACTGTCTCCAAGGAGACCTTCAGAGAGCAGCTGGCTTCACGGGCAAGGCCTGAGCAGACTGTGCTTGTCCACGCAAATGTTAACAGAATCCGGCCAAGTAGCCTTAGGCCCTAACTGGCTCAAAGACAGGAAAGTCAAAATGTCACAGCCAAAGAGACAGTTGGCAGTGGCTTAGAAAAGAAGAGCCATCATCTTCAACTCGGAAGAAAGAGCACCACGCAGGGAGTCCAGAGGCCTGCAGGTATGAGCCTGGAGGCTGCTTTTTCTTCGGCAAGTCATTGCCTTTTCTGTGCCTTGGTTTCCTCAACTATAAAATGTTCCATAAATTCTCCGATAAGACTGGCTTGCTTGCTTTCTTGTAATGAACCCCTACAATACCTCAGCAAAATGAGAGATACAAAAACATAGGACATGGTCCCCACCCTTCAATCTGATCATAACACAGAGTCTAAGCAGAGTGCCTGGCTTCCGAGGGGCTCCCGCCAACTTCCTGTCAGAAGGAGCATGAAGGAGGATGCTGGGTGCACGTGGCCTGTGGGTCCCCATCTGCAGTGCCACCGCATCCACCCACCTGCCCCACAGCGTGGTGCCAGCTCAGGCCTTGCCCCGCCAGGTCCCCTGCAGTAACCCCCTCGAATCCCGTCACAGGTGGCAGGGGCTCACTCTCCTAACTGAACCTGGCCCCTCTGAGCTCCACATCACCAGTCTGGTCTTCGTTTGTCCACCAGCTGTCCCTGCACAACCACCAGTCATGATACCCTTCCGTCAAATTCTCCCTTCCTACAAAATTCTGTCTAAATTCTTTTGCTTGGCATTTGAAGAGCGGACAAGCTGTCTCCAGCCCACCTTCCCAGGCTCGCTTCCCTCGGTGTCCCTCTCTCCGTGGCCTGCACCTCATTCCGGTAACGCGCCGCCCCTTCCCTGCTCCTGCTGCTCCTCCTCTCTGCTCTGATGTTCAGGGTCCTAACCCACAGTGCAACACGCACTCAGATGCTCTGTTCTACTGTTATTAATCAAACATCCGTGGAGCAATGGAAGCAGGATCGTGCCTGTTTTCCACAGGGCAGAAGAGAACGCCTGCCCAGAGTGATGCCCCAGAGCTCGGGGCTGATGCTGATGAAGATCCCCGAACTGTCTGCACTGGCGACGTGGAAGCGCCAGGGCTGCACCTCTGTGTGACCAGACTGTCTGCAGCGCCTCACCCCGCAGCAGCGCACACGCAGAGGGCCTGCCTCCATGTCGTCCCACGTGAACGCCCAGGCCGGAACTCAACTTCTGTGAGTTTCCCACGTGGCATCCACTCACGTACAAGCACGAGAGAGCGTGAGACTGCTGGAAACGTGGGGGTGGGGGGACAAGGACGGTGGGTACAGCACAGCCCACAGCACTGCCACCTTCAATACCTCATCAGACCCGTGCTGCCAGTTGCCCCTGGGTCCCTCCGACCTGCACCGTCCCCTCTCCGCCCCTCCGTGCAGCAGCTGGCCTCACCAGGTTCTCTCTCCTCTTCCTCCAACATCCCATCTTCAAATGTCTCCCCTTTCTATTTTGCTGCCAATTGACATCAGCCATGGCTTCACATCCAGACTCTTGGAAGGCTCAGCTCATGATGGGTCCCCACAGAGCCCTGTCCTCCTTGAAGGCTGTCTGGCCACCACCTGCCACTCAGGCCTGGCATCCAGTGTCTTACCCCTTCCCTCAAGCTGTTTGTAAGGTATTTTTCCCAAACATGAAGTAGAGTTCTCCCGAAGGATTCGATGGGTGAAATATTCACCACCTCCCTACAGTCACCTGCTCAGAGGGCTTTTGCCATGAAATGTCAAGGGTGACAACACCCATTTTCCAGCATCCCTGCCTGATCTTTGACGCACCCAGACATCAGGACATCCCCATTCATTCTGTCTATGAGCCTGATGACTTTTGACCAAGTCCCAGCTTCAGGCCCAGGAAAGACAGCCCGTACAAAACAGTCTCCAGAACTATAATAAGAAATTATTTGGAAGGCAAATCCTTCTCAGGGATACTCCTGACCCAGAGCAGACCCAAGAAAGCCAGTGGGCAAGCTACCCCAGGGAAGAGCCCATGTATGTCAGCAGCATGGCCTGGCCAGTGACCAATTTGTGTTTGTTTGTCTGGGACTTTTCCTATCTTTGCACGGAAAGACCCATGTCCAAGGTACCCCTCAGTCCCAGGCAAACTGGGATGGTTGGTCACTCCAGGCTTGTCCCGCCTGTGATCCTTGCCAAGAACCAGAGGTCATGAGGCCAGTCAGTGAAGCCAAGCTCCATACAAGCAGGTCGGAGAGAAAGCCGGAAATGCACTGCGAAGGCACAGGATGAGCCCTGGCTGCAGATGGGGCCGGAAACAGCTTCATCAGAAATCAGGTCACAGGAGCAAGGCTCCAAGCACAGGCCAGACAGCCTCAGGTGGACTGCCAATGAGTTTCACCAGCATGACTGAGGCTCGCCACCGTGGAGAGGATCCAGATCACACAGGGCAGGAGATCAGGAAACTCCCCCAAAGGGGCTTTCTGCTTAGCAGTCAGAGGACAACAGTAAAATCCCCAGAAGGCCAGCAAACACACACACACTCAGAACTCCCTGGATCCTTCCCTAACAGACCCTCTGTGCCCCGTACAATGGCCCACTCGGCAAACACTGGCTTAGATGTGCAGGAACCCAGCCTCCCCTCTATGACCATACATCAGCACTCGCTGTTCAGCCTACCTAGCCAGGGGCCTGGAGAAGACCCCGCAAAACATCACAGTCCTGTAAACAAAGCCATCATGGACCAAACAGCAGGCCTCCTAGTGCAAGGAGGGAGTTGAGGACTCACCAGGACTCTGCCGGTCAGTGTCTGGGCAGATATCATCACCCCCGCCCAGTCCTTCACGGAGGTCATCCAGCCGACCTCGGCTGCCACCACCTCCTCTTTTTCGTCCACTGGCTTGAGAGTGCCATCAGCCTGGCTTGAGCCATTGTTAATCTTCTGGGCCTCCTGGCAACAGAGAAAACAAAGGTTGAGATTAGGGACCAATTGCATTTTACAAACACAACCTACCTCCAAAAATGAAAGGGTCCTTGGCTATGGTAGGAACTATCTTTAAGGAAGAGGGATAGGGAAGAAGGGAAGGGCTATGGTTTCGATCAGTTTTTTTAATCTTTTTTTAAAAGGAATCTTTTGCCTGGCCGGTGGCTCAGTGGATAGAGCATTGTCCCATGGTCTGAGAGGTCCTGGTTCAATTCCGGGTCAGGGCACATGCCTGGGTTGTGAGCTCGATCCCCAGTAGGGGGCGTGCAAGAGGCAGCCGATCAATGTTTCTCTCACATCGATGTTTCTCTCTCTCCCTTCCTCTCTCTCTAAAAAAAATCAATAAAAACATTTTATAGAAAGAATCTTTTCTTTATTTCTTCTCAAAATATCTTTGTGAAAGGAAGAAGAATGAGATCATTCTGTTTCCGTTTTAAAGAAAAAATCACACAGCTCAAGAGGAAAAGCATCTTGACTGCCCAGCCTTCATCCCTTCTCACAAGCATGCCCACTGTTTTCCTTCAGGAAATCCCCATTTCCGCATCGCCATCTGTGGGGTTCAAAAGGGATGACAGACCCACACTGGCTCCAGGAACCAGGACTGGTCAATCATATCACTCCATCTTCCTAGCAACAGTGACTGGGCCTTGGATGGTCACATGACCCACACCAACCCAGTGCAACTCAGGCCCAGGACCTGCTAGGAAAAGTAGGACAGGTGATCCCTGAGAATGAAGGCAGCACAGAGAAAAGTAGAAGTGATAAAATACCGATGTCATCATTTGAACACCTGAATCCAGCTGTGCCTGAAATCCACCCCAGACCTTTTCAGTCACAGGAGACAATAAATTCCCCTTCATGTCCTAAAATGTGCTTGAGGAAACAAGGCTGCCATCATCAGATAACTGAGCCCTACCCTGGGCCCTAACTTGAACTCTTTCACACACAATGTGCCCTCTCTTCCCACAAATACTCTTCTGCCACAAAGGGTCACAGCTTGTTCCCTCATCAGCCTCAAGTCTTTGCTTAAATATCACCTTTTCAATAGTGTTCTCTGGTTACCCTTTTAAAATTATAACCCCGCCTTCCAAGAGCAGAGCCCTTCTGCTTTATTCTTTCCCATAGCACTTAAAACCTCTAATACACTCTATAATTCTCTTACTTCATTTACCGTCTGCCTTCCCCGAGTGCTGTATCCTGCGTGCCTAAATGAGTGCCTGGCATACAGTTGGCTCAATACACATGAATGAATGAATGAATGAATGAATGAATGAATGAATGAATGAAAAGGGTTATGAATATTAGCCCCTCATGGACTATGGAACCTAGACTTAGAGTTGCCAAATAAAATTCAAGACACCTGGAGAAATTTGAACTTCAGGAAAACAACAAATAAAGTTTTAGCATGAGCATGCCCCCAAACATTGCATGGACATACTTAGACTAAAAACGATTCTATTATTTACCTAAAATTTAAATTTAACTGAACTAAGCCCCTTACTCAAATACCCACTGAGATTATTTTTGCAGATATAGATGTTTTAAAAGATGCCAGGAAAAGTATGTTCATCATTTAAAACACTGGAATTGAATGTCCACAGCAAACTGCCCCTGGGGACCATTGTGAACTGGAGGGAAGGGGGAGACCAAGGGCAGAGGTAAAGTCTGTCTGCAGCGAGCGAGGGCGAGGCAGGGTGAGGAGAGGACAGCTGGGGGCACTGGATGAGTCATCCCGTGGGGGACCTGCAGCCTGGCAGGAAGCTGCTCCTGATGCTTGGCTCTCCCCTCCACCACCTCTGACTGGGGGAACCGGGAAGAGAGAAGCAACACCAGCAACACGGGGTGCTCATGTTTTCTTTCCAAGTGTGCTGGGCCCCACAGAGCTAAAACAGTCCAAGAGGAGGCCATAAGCTGGGGTGGGGTGGGGGATGGGCAAGGGAAGAAGGGGCCACTTGCTGACATCTGTGGAACCCCCTGCCTGACACCTAAGGCCAGTCTCAGTGGCCTGGTAGGACCCCAAGTCTCCGCCACGTGGAGACTCTGCACAGAAGGGGTCCTGGAAGAGGAGACCTGGATCCAGGGGCAGCCTTAATCCTGAAGGTGTAGAGTCAGCTCTCCTACCCTAAGGGACCTGCCCTACAAGCTGGGACAATACCGCCTGCCCCAAGGGCACTTGACACCTGTTCAGTCAATGAGTCCCGCACCTTCTCCTTTAGCCACTGACACTCCAGCAGTGTCTCAAACCTGAGGGCAACAGAACACCTGGGGGGCTGTTCACCCAGGGTGCTGGGCCCATCCCCACCTGTATTTCCAACAAGTTCCCAGGTGATATGGAGGCTGCTGGTCTGGGAGCCCCACTTGGGGAACCCCTGCTCCTGTTCATACTGGCTTGATCCTCCCTGCTCTGATCTGAAGTGGGACATGGACTTAACTCCCAGCCCTGCCCAGCCTCTCCCTTGGCCCAGGCACGGAATGCCTTCCTGCGGAACTGGGGAACGCAGGGTGGACAGGGAAGAGGTGGGGCGGGAGAAGGCCCTCACATCAGAGGCTTTGTGTTTCCACTTGAGTGGTGCCTCCCAGGGACATTTCTGAACTGGCCCAGGGCCCCGAGCAGGGCTAGCTCTCTGCAGCTGAACCCCAGAGCCCAGGCTCCAGCCACCACACCCACCGGGAGGAGGCAGTCGCAAGAAAGGGCGGGCAGGCAGGAAACCCACTCCAGTCACCGTGGTTTCAGTGCATTAATAATTCACAGCACACGCCTATATGGCAGATAACGCCGACTTGCCAGCCCTCTTACCTATTGTTTTACAAGGCATTCATTATTTTAATTACTTTATGATAGGCAAAGAAAAACACAGACGAAAGGGAGATAATGCCCTTGTTATTATTTGCTTCCAATCGATGTTTCGAGCTTAATTACACACGAGGGAGGCAGGACTGGGGGAGGGGCGGGGGAGCGAGCCTGGAGCCCTGCGAAGCCTGAAGCCAGCGGGCCAGGCAGGCGCTCCCTAGCACGGAGGGCGCTCTGGCCAAAGCACCCTCAGTAGAAGCAGGGACTATGCTCTGGAGAAAAGGGGGACGAGGCCCAGAGAGGGCAGTTAAGTGGCCTTGCTGGCACACAGCAGGAAGGAGTGGTAAGGGGCAGAGCCCTCTGTAATAGTGACTGGCCTCTACTTATCAAGCCAGACTGGGTGTCAGCAACTACAAATTAGGTGCTTTCTATGTGTGATCTCGATTAGAGCTTATAAATCCAACAGCAGGTGGAATTATCCCCATTTTACAGACAGGGCAACTGAGAGCAGGTACCTCAGGGGAAGGCACAGAGCCAGAGGGTCAGGATGGAGGCAGAGAGCCCACCGAGGCTGAGGTGTGCTCCCTGCTGGCAAGCTGACTGTCACGGGCATGTTCGCTCCGGAGCCTCAGCCTCCTCCGTGTAAACTGTGGACAGGCACGCCAACCCATTAAGGTGGTGGCGAAGCTTAGGTGAGATTAGCGATGCACAGTGCTTGTCACATGATGGAATGTCCACTGGTGGGACTGGGTGCCCCTAAGGACACAGTGGAGGCTGCACCACCACAGAGACTGCTGGCCTGAGAGGCACACTGGCCCAGCGGGGACCGTACTAAATGCTTATGGAACGGAGGGTAAACGAGCGTGGGTTCCAACAGCTTTGACCCTTCGACTAGGTAAAGGACCCCTGGGAGGTAAGGTACCCCAACTTCTGGAGGGGTTCCAGCAGGAGCTGTGTGGCAATCTGCAAAACAGCTGGGGCAGACCTTCCCATACAGAGTGAGCCCTGGACTGAGTGACCTCTTGGATCCTTCTGACTCGAAGCTCTATCAGATCAACCTCCCACTGGAGATGTGGAGATGAGGACCAGAGAGAGGCTGCCTCTTGGGGCCCAGGACACTGCCTCAGAGGGAACAGCACTTGGTCCTGAATGGCAAAGTGGGCGTCCATGCACCCCAAACCGCCACTTCCCACTGCAGAGAAAAGATGCCATGAGGGATGCGAGACAGGGTGACATCCTGGCATGTGGAGGTCCTGCGGGGCCAAATCCTGAGAAAGGGGCTCAGTCTTGCTTTGGACACCACGCCTCCCTCCGGCTGTGCCCTCCCTCCCTCCCTCCAGAGTCCTGTGTAAAACAAGCCACAGCTGCCTCCTGGGGCCAACATGGAAGAACATGTCATCTCAGCACCCTGGCCAGTGTGGGGGGCACAGAGGGCAGTGCCACATGGGGGGGAGGGACACAGAGGGCAGTGCTGCACGGGGGGGAGGGCCACGGAGGGCAGTGCCGCACGGGGGGGAGGGCACGGAGGGCAGTGCCGCACGGGGGGGAGGGCACGGAGGGCAGTGCCGCACGGGGCGGTGGGGGGCGCGGCAGGTGCTGGAGGCTGGGGACACGGGAGGGCACTGCTGCCCTTCACATGGCTGGGCCCAGACACATGGTTTCACCCACTTCTCCTCATTCTTTTCAGCGGCATCTGCCCTGGTTTCCTGCTGACATGGCCACAGAGGTCCTCGCCTCTCCTCTGTCACCTGTGGCCAAGGGCCTGACCAGACCACAGTCACCTGGTACTCACTATACAGAGCACATCTCTGTTGGGTGTTTGGACGTTTCCCCTAAATCACCCGGTCAAAGACCAAAGCCTGAGAAGGACCTCAGCACCCACTCTGGATGCCATCCTCCACTCACTGCGCAGTTGAGACCTGAGGCCTGAGGCGGGGAGTGGGGTGCAAAGCCACATGCTCAGTGCCCCCAACCAGCCAGGTGACCCCAAGCCCAGAGTAACCCCAGCTGGCTCTCTTCCCCTTATCTCTCGTTGCCAATCTAGCCAGTGCCCCTGCTGCGGCCTGGAGGCCAGGTGTCCTAACCCCAGAGCCTCCACGGGCCGGGGCCCAGGTTCAGGTGTGGGGGCCACAGCAGGGAGCAGCCTTCTTGTCTTCAAAGCACTGGCTTCCCCGGC